CGAAGCGGTGATGGAAGATGAATGAATGAAGATGAATAAAAATGCCTGTATGTATGCATACATGTATGAATCGATTGGTTCAAAAAATCTTGTCATGAAATTTCGATGAGCAAACGAGGTTTCATCTTAATCAGTGCCATGATGCGTGCTTCAAACTAACGTCGTTGGCAGCAAATTCACAGGGGAAACAGATTTTGTTCATTCATCATTCAGAAATTCCTTTCGAATCCGGCAGCGTTGGTGTTTAATCTCTGGCTTCATCTCTCTTCCTCACTACAGTAACGTCTTCAAAAAGTTATTATATGAAAATCTGCCGTGTTGAATATGTTTTGTAAACAGACCACTGCTAACTAACAAAATAAATGGCAGCACCTGACAAGCAAATCTGGATAAAAGATTAAGCCCATGTGTTATCTGCAAACCTTATTGCAAATTGATGTTTTTAATTTATGCTCCATCTATGCTATGGTTAAATGACAATTGCAGTGCTCTGAAATTGCTAGCGCGACTTTTATTTTAATGCATATGCCTTAACCATGTTCTGGATAATCTATCTTAGCGTCGTTCCATGGAGAGAGAGAGAGAGCAGTGACAAAAAGTGAGAAATCGCATAATGGGAGGTAGTACGGTGGGTGTGTGCTTTAGAGGCGCCGTCGCATTCACGAAGGCCTGTCTAAGCCTCAAAATGTTCGCATAGCGAGGTCAACGAGGGCACGATACTGAAACGTCAAAATGAACATCCTCTTCACCCGTGCTTAAATCAGACCTGCACAGCGGGATATAAGCAGATTTTAAGCCTAGGAAAGGGTTCGAAACTCGCACTCCCATATTAATCCTCGTAAATAGCATCGCGGCAATATTTTCACTTCGCTGTGTGCTCTCTGAACAGATGACGACAGCAACAACAGCAACAGGCGTCATATGTTCTGTTGATTATTATGCTTAATAAACAGCTCAGGTAGATCGAGGCAAATTGCAGCCCATCGAGACGCTCACAGCACATGACTTTTTCGTACCTCTCACTCATTTTGTATGACCACACCAGAACACTGTGCTGCTCCTGGAGTTTGCAAATCAGCGATATGTTAACCGTTTCTCGGTTGGTTGCATCGACGTATAAACGGTTAAGAGAAGCTTTGTCTTTTACCGGATTCGAACCTAGCATCTCCAGAGTTAAAAGCCGATATCTTTTCCACTGTGCCGCTTCGCCCATTCGTTTTGAGTAAGTAGGGATGAAGAACTGGATGATGCATCCTGAACATTTTTTCCGCCAAAGAACTGCAGTCAGAAACTGTACTTCATGCTTTTGGTTCGGCTACTCCCAATATTGCTGCTCCTCTATCACTTTTTCCTGCAAGGGGCTTTTATCGAAGCTCCATCCAGAAATTGGCGAGTTCCCACAAAATTCGGTCCTCCATGTTCTGAGTTTCTCATTCGTTCAGTTTTCGGATTCCATAATTTCTTCTCGAAGAAAAGTACTTTTTAGCCATTGAAGACTGTTTTTCTGTAGTCACGAAAAGTTCTGTCTAACTCACGAGAAATAATTCTCAGGGAAGTGGTTTAATACATATGGGGTTCCATCAGTAAAGTAGCACTACAGAATTCTTGGGTCAGCCCCTATGCTCGTTGAATATGGCGTAATGCGCTTAGCGAACTACTGTCACAAATCAATCACAACCGTGTTCTTGTATCACTTATTCGAGAATCGTTAATTGCGTTAAATACTGATTTAAGGTTTTGACTAACGAGAAGTCACTTTAGAAGTTGAGTGAATCTATAGCCACTATTTTACAGCTTTGTGTGCTAGACGGCAGTAGAAAGATTGCCAGCTGAACAAGATCAATCACTAATCCTATTTTTCAGCACATGTAATAAATGAAGCAAGACAGGCCAAAGGTCAATGACAAACAATTGCTACAGAGAATAAAATAAATAAAACTATAAAAAACCTGTTCTAAATCGAACCAATAACTGAACTGCCTAGTGTGGAGTCTGAAATTATCCGTCGAATAGGGGGAATTGGGGTAATGATGCGGAACAACAACGCAGAACTGCCGAATTCGAAGAAAACTGGAATTTTGGTAGTATGCTTATTGATGATGACATTCATGCACCGTTGCAGAGTTCTGTTATAATTTTACACCCACACATAGCATGGGTTAAATCGATCGTTGCACCCTCCTTGTTGTCTAATTTTTCGCAACTAGTTGTTCACCGGGATCCCATTTACTGGCAACTTACTCATACATCTTAGGATTGTTCTACTACCCGCAATCTGTGGAATGTGCTCGAGGGCAGGAGACGCTTCACATTGGACATAGAATCGATCGGATTAAGCTTCTTTTCTTGAAATTACGTTTGTGTTGAAAGGTTATATAGTAGCATAAATTAATTTGATTTCTGAATGCGTTTTCGCCTACGGACGTTGTCTCTCAATGTCTAGCACGTGATGTTATGAAGAGTTCAAATAAACAAAATTATAAATAGAGGGTATTCCTCTCAGTATAATGCACACGAAACTGTAACTAGTGGCTCATATAGCCCAATATAGGTAACATTTAATTACAAACGCTTTGATGGCCTCTCCGAGTACAGCTTTTAGCTTGCTTTATTATGCCAGATAAATGACTTTTAAGGTCGGAATGCTCAACCTCAAGCACTACTGCGTAATCGACCTCAAACCTCCTCGTTTATGATAGATATAGGAAAGATGTTTGTCAGCTTCCTACGAAACGTGCATGGCATCTGCGTCTTTTTTCGAGCACCATGTATACCGTGCTTTTACAGACTTCACAGAAAACGAGCATTTTGCAGGAGAATTAATTCATGGCAATTTTATGCATGATCAATCCGTTGCAGTGCTCACGTTCCATGGTTTTCCTTTATAAATCTGCCACTCGGTTCTCATTTGTGGTTCCAAAGCTGTATTCTAAGTCTAGCCTACAAAACCTACGATGTGCGCCTCAGTGCAATTTACCGACAGCCCGCTATTCCGTCTATTGAGTCATCTCAGGTCATTTCTAGAAACGCTTTGGGTGCGATTTCGACAATGCTCCGTCCCCACTAATCTCCCCGAACATATGACAGCTGATTTGGTTTGTGTCGCATTTTCGCGTTTGTCAGTCATGCTGATCGTTTTGCTGCCATTACCATCGAACGACAGTCTGGGGTGGGGGGGGGCAACAGCGTGTTAATAAGCACTACTGCTCCTGACCGTACTCTGAGCCAGGTAAAAATTGGTACGGTTGAAGAACAGCGAAAGCAGCAAAGGCTTCTGAAGCGCATCTGAATCTGGTTCGCATAGCGCAACGCGTCCAGGTGCGAAGACACGCCAGGGGGTAACATTTTAACTTTAAAGTTTCGTATGGACACTTTAAACTCGCACCGCCACCGTTGTCGTAGAACTTCTGTTCCTTTGTTGGTTGTCGCTTACCGCTACAGTATAAGCTAAGTCGTTTTTCGTTTCAGAATCACGAGTCGCAGGTCGATCGTATGGCGACGCTGCATCAATTGCTAGTAACTGTCCTGATTGGCCGCTTTCCCGTTCGCACAACCTCTTCTTCTTCCGGAAACCAAGCACTGAGGTTCAGATGTATGACCGCATTGATACAACGGCGGACTTGAACTTCACTTTGGGCGTAGAGACGAACGTTACCTACGTTGAGTACGTCTTCGGAAAGGCAGTCATCAATCTGCTGGAATTGATCGGCGGCTTGATAACTATTATTACGAATATATTCATTTTGGCAGCATGCGCGAAGATTAAACGCCTTACAAAAGAAGTCGTCATGCTCATTGGTATTGAATTTTATCTATCGTTTCTTTTCGTTTCCGCAAGATCCTGCGTCCTCGCTGAAGACGGGTTTTGCGATGATTTGTAGAACTGTTTGGTAATCCTCACTGGTGACTCAAGTGTATTAAAACGACAGAATAATAATAAATTAGTGCCGCCTTTAAATAGTTGCTTTCTATTGTCTGTACACAATCAGCTCGTTAGAAAGACTCAAGCCACAACACTGCCCATTTAGACTAATCCTATAGGCGGGC